ATATACCTGCAGCCTCCCTGACCTTCCTTTTTAGAGGTCGCTTTCAAAAGTCGGTCTTGGAACCGAAATCCTTCCTTTTGAACAAAGGAGCGTGTTTTGCGAAAGGGTTGCGTTTTGGGACCCAGGCCCAGGACATCCCAGGACAAGTGACCAGATGCACACCCTCAAGTGCTATTTGGTGATGTTCATCTAAAGATTGGATGAACTCTTTGGCCACCCTCCACTTCAAATACACTGCTTCTCATTAGATTATTGATGATCATTGGGCCAAGAAGATCATAGAAGGTTTTCTGGTGTGCATCTTTGGACTGGTATCCAATCACAGCCCCGGTTTCCCCACCGGCCACTCACATCCACGTTCGTCGCAGCGAACATTTTCCCGGTGTAGCCACCGGCCGCTGGTCATCGAGCTGGTCATTTTGACCTGTTGGGGGGCCTCAGCCAACCGGGATGCTGGTCACAACTCGAAAGAATGGGCATTTGTGGACAAACTTGTCCTTGAAGTATAACCAAGTCTGAAAGGACCATGATCCCCCAACGTGTTTGTTGCTACCATAGCAAAATAGTTCATAGGTTAAACAAATCCATTATGATACACTGCATCCCGTTGTGTCAGCTTCACTGGACCTGGCGCACTGTTTGGACAAATCATGCCTTTTGTTTCCTCAGCCAAATTTTTGATTCAAGTTTTTGTGCTGTTTCTGGTACTCTTCCTTGGGCATGGCATCCCTTGCTGGTGTGGTGGATGAGTGGGACTCTTCTGCTGATTTACGTGAGAGGATGCGGGAGAAACGTCGTCTGTTCTTGCCTGAAGAGGGGAAGGAAACCCTATCGGCCACTGTTGCTTGCTGCAGCATGAACTTTGAAGTGCTGAAGCCCCTAGCTCAACGTTTGCAGAATCCACCTGGGACGGTTGGGATGTTCACGGTGCCTGACCTTTTGAAAGAGAATCTCACCTGCAACAAGTCTGATTTTTTTTTGTGTTCCACCATCAACCTACCATCATTGGGGCATTGGGCCAAAAGATCAATAAAAGACTTGATGTCGTAGGTACTCTTCTTGGCTGTCTGTTGCGCTCCTAGGATCAAATCCCTCTACGGCAGGTTCAAAATCCCATTGCCATCCAAGAAGGATCTCAAGAATGAGGCAAAGTTAGCCAAGGGAAGCATGGTGCTTCTGAAACGAAAGCTTCAGCGCGAGCAAGTTTGCCGGGACCCCTTGTTCCAGAGTTTGATGGTCATGGTTTTTGGCGACCGTGATGATGAAGAAAAGTTGACTTTCCAGGAGCTTTGTTTCTCTGTCATTGCCTATTTTAAGGAAACAACTTGTATCATATCATAAGTTGAAACATTGAAAGCTTGTGGGTTTGGTGTCTTTTGATCCTGGTTCATCATGCATGTGGCTGATTTTGTATTTTTCCACCAAACCATTCTGACTTCCAGGACCCTGAGGGGGAACCAGAGCAAGATGTGGACGAAGTGGAGATTGCAGGTGTGGAGTCGGATGGAGAGCTGGATGATGAGGATGCCATTCCTCTTCAAGAAGAAGCTCAGGGTAGCGCCTTCATGGAGGATTCCATTCCTCTTCAACAAGAAGCTGAGGGGGGGGGTTTTGATGGAGGATTCCATTCCTCTTCAAGAAGAAGCTGAGGGTAGAGAAGCGGCGGAGGGTAGCGCCTTCATGGAGGATAGCCAGGATCCTGAAATGCAAGTTGATCCTGCACCGCTTGCGGCCCCTGCTTCTTCTGATGCTGCTCCCACCGAGGTTCCAGTCTATCTTATTGGAGACAGCCCAGAGAAAACGGATATGGTGGAGGAAGACAAAAGCTGGGAACAGTGCGCTAAGAACTTGATCGACAGCAGGCAGTCGATAGAAGATCAAATCAGTGAGCTAACTGCCAAGTTGTCGGTTGCCAAAAAGCAACGAGCTTCCCAGACATTTGGTCATTTACTCGGACACATTTTGTGTGGAAATAAAGATGGGTGATATTGGAGGACTGGATATGGGGTCCGTATAGTTTTTTTACTTTACAAGCAAATCAGTGACCATTGTCTTCGAACCGGCTTTGCTGAGGATGGCCAGCCAAGCCTTGCAACGTGGAAAGTCGACTCCGCACTTGGTCTTGGAGAGCTTGCCTGAGGTGGGAGAGGATGGGGAAACCCAACTGCTGCACTCTATGGAAATGGAGCATTTGGCCAAAATGTTCTCGGAGACTCGAGAAGTTGAGGTCCCTAAATGTCCCACTGTAGCCTGTTTGATTATACTTATATGGTCTTTTTGTCGTTGGGCTTACTTTACCTTAGTCATGAGTCACACGCCTTTTCAAGAAAATCTGTTGTTCTTTATGTGGAATCTTTGGCTCCCTCCTGCATTAATTCTCTTCCTCATGTTGTTTGCCTCATCTTCAGGTATTGCGTCGGGATCAGCTAAAATTGAAGTGTGAGGAAGGCAATGAGAATGAGAAGGAGAAGAAAAAAGAAGACTCCAGGACGTCCGAAGGGAAAGGCAAAAGGTAAGGCAGCTGCCAAGGCGAAGGCAAATGCCTCAAAGGCCAAGGCTAAGGCCAAGGCTAAGGCCAAGAGCAAAGCAAAGAAGACTTCCCCGGCCCGGGAATTTAAAGAAGCACCAGAAGAAGAGGTGCAGGAGGAAGAGGAGAATGAAGATGAGGAGGTGGCTTCTGATGGTGCTGAACATGAAGAAGGTGAGGTAGCACCAGGGCCTACCAAGCGGGTGAGGAAGGCTTCCGCAATCACGCAAAAGAGTGGTACCAGCAAGCCTGAGGCGAAGAAGAGGGCCAAAAAAGGACAAAACCCAGGAAACTGAGAGGAGCGGGCTGAAGGAAGAACCAGTTGAAAATGATGGTTTGAAAGGCGAGAAGAAAGAATGCAAGGAAGCCAACCGCAAACCTACGAAGAGAAAGGTCGGCGGGGCGCCTTCTACCTTTGCGAGGAGGGCGGAGCCAACGTCAGAGTTTGGTCGGCTGAAGTGGAATGCTTTGAGAGGGGCCTTCAACGAAGTGATCAAACCGCACCTCACTCACTACTCGGCTGCTGAGGCCCCACAAGGGTGAAGAGTGGGTGTGTGTGTGTGT